GCAATGAATGAGAACTTTAGGATACTGCAGATATCCGATTTTCCATTAATCTTTCAATTAATGAGTTTAATGTTTATTATTAAAAGCTCACAGAATCAATTTGTCTTTAAGATTGTAAAGTAGGGATTTCTAATTAATTTTACAAGACGGAACTCTTCTGTAAAGAATATATCAGGACAGATATTTAAGTAAGGAGTAGGTAAATAAAAGCAAGAGTAAAAATTAAATTTTTGAGGATTACTTTTCTGGATTTATGATTTAAAAATTTTTCTTAATTGAGTCCTTCACAGTACAAAGTTTTAAATTTTTATAAGGTTCACTTTATTAAGAATTTCCTTTTATTGATCATGTATTTGGTGTCATATGAAGAAAATTCTTCCTAATTTAAAGTTGAGTGTCTCTTTTAAAACAAGTGTTCTTTATCCTCTGGGTTTTAGATCAGGACTTATTTAATTTTTTATACCTTATAAATTATAAATTATTGTGGACCTTATAAAAGGTCCAAACACACAGAAAATATAGTACGTGTAAAATAAAATTCTACACTCTTTCCCCAAAACGGCTCCTCTATTTTTTCCTATTTCAGCTAATGGCATTGTCATTATCTATTTGCATTTCTATTTGGGACAAAAATCTAGACATATCCATGTTTAAATTTCTTTTTGTTTCCTCAATCTTTTAATAATAATAATAATAAATCCCATGAGCTCTTGCTTCCACTGCTGACAGTCTAATCAGCCATCACATACATGCAAACAAATAACACAATTATAAAAATATTTCCAATACCTTTCCATTTTTATATAATTAACAATAAAGTAAAAATTTCAATTGTCTAGACATTCAAATGGCCACCAAACACATAAAAAGTTGCTCAACACTGAGTCATCAAAGAGATTAAAATAAAAACCATGTTGTTGTTGTTGTTATGTGCCGTCGAGTCGCCAGCGACTCATAGTGACCCTATGTACAACAGCCCTAAACTCCACTGTCCTGTGCCAATCCCACAACCTCTGACACTCCCATCCGAATTATCCCAGTCACTGAATCAATCAACCTCATAGAGGGCCTTCCTCTCCTGTGCTGTCCCTCCATCCTCCCAAGCATGATATCCCTCTCCAGGGATCGCTCCCTCCTCACAACATGTCCAAAGTATGTTAGACGGAGCCTCAGAATCTTTGCCTCCAAGGAGCCACCCGGTTTAACCCTTTCCAGGACAAATCTGTTTGTTTTCCTAGCAGTCCACGGTATTCTCAGTACTCTTCTCCAGCACCACAGCTCAAAGGCATCAATTCTCCTTCTATCCTCCCTGGTCATTGTCCAACTCTCTGATGCATAACAAGTGATTGCAAAGACCATAGCCTGTATCAGATGCACCTTAGTCTCCAGAGAGACACCACTGCTCTTCAGTACTTTGGAGAGGTCCCTAACAGCCGACTTTCCCATGGCAATGCTCCTTTTGATTTCCTGGCTGCTGGTGCCAAGACTGTTGACTAGGGAGCCAAGCAAACTAAAGCTGTGTACAATCTCAATCTCTTCACCATCCATCCTGATGCTGCCAATTGGTCCAGTGGTGAGAATCTTTGTCTTCTTGACATTGAGCTTCAATCCATATTGTAGGCTGCAGTCCTTGACACTCTGCAGCAGGCGCTTCAGGTCCTCTTCAGTTTCAGCAAGCAGGGTTGTGTCATCCGCATAACGCAGGTTGTTGATAAATCGTCCACCAATCTTGACCCCACAATTCTCCTCATAGAGCCCAGCCTCCCAGATAATCTGTTCTGCATGTAGGTTGAAAAGGTATGGAGATAGGATGCATCCCTGGCGTACGCCCTTCCCAATTTTGAACCATGCAGTGTTCCCTTGCTCTGTTCTGACGACTGCCTCCTGGTCCAAGTATAAGTTTCGCATTAGAATGATCAAGTGTTCTGGGATTCCCATTCTTCTCAGAGTCAGCCATAGTTTGTTATGATCTACACAGTCAAAGGCATTTGCATACTCAATGAAACACAGATAGACATTCCTCTGGTATTCCCTGCTTTCAGCCAAGATCCATCTAACATCAGCTACAATATCTCTAGTACCACGACCCCTTCTAAACCCAGCCTGGACTTCTGGTAGTTCTCTGTTGATGTGCTGTTCCAGTCATTTTTGGATAATCTTCAGTAAAATCTTGCTTGCATGTGAAATCAGTGAGATTGTTCTGTAGTTACCACATTCTGTTGGGTAACCTTTCTTTGGGATAGGAACAAATATAGATCTCTTCCAGTCAGTTGGCCAAGTGGTCGTTCTCCAGATTTCTTGGCACAACTTGGTGAGCACGTCCAGGGCAGCATCTGTTAACTGAAATATGTCAATTGGTATACCATCTATTCCTGGAGCCTTATTTTTTGCCATTTCCTTCAAAGCAGCCTGAACTTCTTCTTTCATCACCATAAGCTCTTGCTCATATGTTGTTTCATGAAATTCTTCTGTGTCTTCCAATTCCTTTCGATACAGTGACTCAGTATATTCCTTCCATCTTCTTTTAATACTTCCTGAATCATTTAACATTCTGCCGAAAGCATCCTTGATTATAGCAACTCGAGGTTTGAATTTGTTCTTCAGTTCCTTGAGCTTAAGATATGCTGAGCGAGTTTGGCCCTTTTGATTTTCTGACTCCAACTCCTTGAACATTTCATTGTAATATTTTGCTTTGTCATCCCGTGCTGCCTTTTGAAATCTTCTATTCAACTCTTTAGTATCTTGAATTCTTCTCTGTGCTCCAGTGCAATTTTCAGAGTATCTTCTGACATCCATTTTGGTCTTTTCTTCCTCATCTGTCTTTGCAATGAACATTTGCACTCTTCCTGGATGATACCCTTGATATCCTCCCACAACTCATCTGGCCATCGCTCATTAGTGTTCAAAGCCTCAAACCTGTTCCTGAGATGGTTCTGAAATTCAGGTGGGAAAGACTCAAAGTCATATTTTGGTTCCTCGATTTGGTTTAATTTTCCTCAGCTTCAGCTTGATTTTGCATATGAGTAGTTGGTGGTCTGTTTCACAGTCAGCTCCTGGCCTAGTTTTCACAGCTGATATTGAGCTTCTCCAGTGGTTCTTTCCACAGATGTAATTATTTAATTTTCCATACTAGAGAAAAGATTCAAAAATGAAACCTAGCAAATGTCTGTAGGAAGAGACAGGAAACTAGAATCTCAATCCCAATGCAAACTGGTACCACTGCTGTGAAAAACAGAGTGGCAATCCCTCAAAAAAACTGAAAATAGGGAGCTCTGGTGGTGTAGTCTGTGGTGTGTTTTACAGTTAACCAAAAAATCTATCTGATTTAGCAATTTCACTCCTAGATATATAACCAGAAGACTTGGGTAAAAGGAAAGACTTACACAATAGCGTTCAATACGGCATTATTCTTAACATATAAAAGGTGGAAAATACCCTAAATGTCAAAAGGTGAAATAGGTAACAAAATATAGTATATATATATATACACACATACATACAATGGAATTCTACTCAGCCACTGATACAACAGAGTTGAGACACGACATAACATCACTATCACTTGAAGATTCTAGGCTAGACAAAATTAGCTGATCACAGAAAAGGAGCAATATTATTATCTCATTTGTACAAAAAGACAAGAAAATGCAAATGTATTAAAAAACCGTTTCTGAATGGAAAACAGGGAGTGGGGGTGGGGGGTAAGAAAAAAAGGGTCATTATTACTTAATGAGTACTAATGTTAGGTTTACCATGAGTGAATTTTAGTAGTTGTGTCTATGTTGAAGTTTGTCTATGTCATTTAGATTAATTTGTTGGTAGATAACTATTCCTAGTATTCCCTTTTAGGGTTTTTTGTTTTGTTTTGTTTCTGCATAGTCAGTAGTATTGCCCCCCATCATTCCTGATTATAACAATTTCAGGTTTGTCTGTTTTTTTAAATTTTTTTGATCTTTTGTAAGAAACACTTTGCATTTTCATTCATTTTGCTATTGTTTCCAGTCCCTATATCACCTCTTTAAGGAGCCCTGGTGGGACAAACGGTTAAATGCTCAGTTGTTAACAAAAGGTTGGCAGTTGGAATCTACTAGCCACTTCACAGAAGCATGATGTGGCAGGTCTGTAAAGATTTATAGCCTTGGAAAACATATGAAACAGTTCGACTCTGACTTACAGGTTTGCTATGAATTGGAATCTGCTCCACGGTATGGAATTTGATTTAGGTGTATTTGGTGGCAGAAGCTGTTGATATTATCCGTTGTTAACCAAAAAAAAAAGCTAGTAGTTTTATGGAAAAAAAATCTAGCCATCTACTTCCATAAAGATTACAATCAAGAAAATCTACAGGACAGTTCTATCCTATGGGGTCATTATTAATTGAAAATGACACAATGGAAAAACGAAACAAAAAAATGACTTAATGGCACTATGACAAATAATAACATATCACATATTCACACTCTAGTATTTATGAATCATATCATCCTATATGCTTTTGATTTTATCTTGTTTTCCCAATTTCTTAAAGTTACCGATTTAAGGTCTTTTTAAATTTGGGTATTTCCTACTTTGAATTTCCTTCTAACATTGCTTCAGCTACATCTCAAGAGCTTTGTTACATTGTTTTCATTTTCATTCACCTCAAAGTATGTAATTACTTGTGATTTCTTATTTGTCCCACTTAGACGCATAGAGTTTAACTGCCACATATTGTCCTCTGTTACTAGTTTCTAACTTTTGTAATCATTCTTCAGCTCAACTTTAAATAGAAATACCACAGAATCTTACATTTATGACAAGTGGTATCAGAAATCTTTAATAGATTTTGAGATTAAAATAAAAATGAAAAAGTTGAAAATAACTAAATTTTATACAGAATTTTAGATTACAAAAAGGGCTTTTGCATTAATAGTTGTCTAAATAACTATCTTCTTAAAAATTCCTTGAATATTACTTGTAACTAACACATATAAACTAGTAAAAGTAGCAAAATAAAGTACCTGATAGGTGTTGTCAAAACTGTCATACATGAATCTGGTGATCAAGGATGTTTTCCCAACTGAAATTAGAAAAAAAAAAAAAAAGGATTCATTCAGTAAATTTCAACAGGTTCTCAAACAATTTTCTACAAAGAACTGCAATTAAACTGAAAGTTTAAGTATCTGTAATAGTTGTATCAACAAGTCATATGGCTGAGTTTGTCACATATCTTTCTTTAAAAGCAGGTAATGGGGTATCAGTGGGAATATGTCAGAGTATGTGCCAGATGGAAAACTGTGACTGCAGCAGCTTTAAAAGCAGAAAAGATGATGGCTGAAGGACAGAAGCTGAGCCATTGGGAACTGGTGCTGTCACCCAAGAGGTAAAGGCCTCTGGAAGAGTTCTGGAACACATTTTTGCAGAACTCAATTTCCTGGAGGAACACAGTGTATACTGACACAGTACCTTTGCTTTTATTCATGTACTTATACCTGCTTGGATTATTCATTATTATCTCAAATATTATTTGAATGTCAAACCATATGCCATCATTGAAATGAAGCCTAACTACTCCCAAATGATACAATTTTGGAGTTTGTAGTAGATTACTCTACCAATGACTTTCCTAATCAATACACTGGTTGTTGTTGACTGACACTGGGTTGAGCATGACTCACAGCCACCCTATGAACAAAAGGCCTGAAATCTTTCATTACTTTCACTACCAACATTTAACAAAGGTCACAGTTTCCAGAGGCATGTTCTTTGGGAAGTGGATTCTACTCCTGTTTAAATATGCCAAAAGCTTATAACCCTAAGACCCCCATTATCATTTTAATGAGTATTTTCTAGAAAATTTATTTAAGTAAATTTATGAGTTTAAAAAATTAAAAGCAGATAATAGTACCTCAAACTAAAAGCATTGAGAAAGAGTATGTATTGAAATACTTAAAATATTAGTTATTGCAGAATATGGGGCAAAATTGGGATATAGTAAAACAATAAATTGTACAAATATCCTCAATTCAAAAAGGCCAAGCAGATCATTTTACGCCCCAAGCCAATTGGTCCAAACATGTTCACTCAAAGGCCAATGAAACATTCTTCTAGGTGGTATAGCACTGGTCTGTGTACAGCACTGTGTATAGCACTGGTACTGCTGTACAGAGGTAACTCGTGTGGTTGCTGTGATGCTGAACCCTGGGACACTGATGTGCCAAACGTGGTAATGTGTTTGCTGGAGCTTCCCGACTAAAACAAGCAGGAGCGGCATCCACTTCCAAAATGGCTTGCCTTCGGAAACTCTAGGTACGAATGGTGCTCAGGCCTTTCGTTCACAGGGTCACTATGAGTTGGCTACAACCCGACGGCACCTAACAACAACAACAACATGTTGAAATAACCAACCAGAGACTTTAGCTGTTGGTGATCACAGGGGACATTACCTTTAGACTTAAGAGTTTAAATCCATACAACTCAACTGCGCTACAGGCCAAAAACTACCCTTCGAAAGAAAAGCAAAATCTATTTATATGTATCCTTAATTATATTCAGTTGTTGCTGTTTTGTGTCATCATGTTGCCTGCAACTCATAGCAACTCTTTGTATGATAGTCCTGAAACCTGCTCTATCTTGTGTCAACCTACTATCTCTGACACATGAACCCTAATTACCCCAGTATCTGAGTCAATCTATCCCACTGAGGGTCTTCCTCTCTTGGGCTGTATCTCCACCCTCCCAAGAATGATGTCCCTCCCCAAGGACTGGTTCCTCCTTGCAACATACCCAAAGTACTTCACACAGAATATATAGTAAAAAAATATTGTTGTTGCCTGTGACTCACAGCGACCCTATGTACAATAATCCTAAACCCTCTTTTACCCTGTGCCAATCTTATTGTCTCTTACACACCTACCCCCATTACCCTAGTCACTGAATCAATTTATCTCATTGAAGAGGGTCTTCCTCTCCTGCGCTGTCCCTCCACCCTCCCAAGCATGATGTCCCGTCTCCAAGGACTGGCCCCACCTTGCAACATGTCCGAAGTATGTCAGATGAAGCTTCAGAATCCTTGACTCCAAGGAATAGCCTGGTCTCACTCTCTCTAGCATGAACCTATTTGTTCTTCTAGTAGCCCACAGAATATTCAATACTCTTCTCCAAGCACCACAGCTCAAAGGCATCAATTCTCTGTCAATCATTCCTAGTCACTGTCCAGCTTTCGGATGCAAAGCAAGTAACTGGAAAGACTATGTCCTGGATCAGGCACACCTTAGTCTCTAGACTGACATCATTGCTCTTCAGTACTTTGGGGGGGGGGAATTAGACATGTTGTTATTGTTGACTGCCTTCGAGTCCAACACGACCCAAAATGACTCTATGAACAAAAGGCCTAAAGCCTTTCTATAATTATTGACATTTATCAAAGTTCACAGAGTTTCCTGAGGCATGTTGTTTAGTACTCAAGGAAAAAAATTAGTCAATACATCTTTCTCCATTTCCTTTTTAATAAACCTCCCCCAAAAAAACTCAACCAAAAAGACTTACAAAAAAACCAGGTTCCAAGATGATCCACTGACTATAGTTTGCAGGCAAGAATTTAAAGAAACCACTATAAGTATGTTCTAAGACTAAAGCAAGATATATACATAAGAAATTAATGGAGAGGAAATCTCAGCATAGAAACAGAAATGTGAACAGACTAACCAAATGTGCACTCTAAGATAATTACAAATAATAAAAAGTTAACAGTTTAGACTTCACAGAAAATGGAGATAACAAAGAATCAGCACACTTCAATACATATCAATTGAAATGACAAGTTTGAAGAAGATGAGAAGAAATATTAAAGTAAAATAAAGTCTCCGTTATTTATAGTATAATATCAAGCAGGCATGTCTATATAAAAACTGAGCTCTAGTGAATCAGTGTTAAGAAGTTGCACTGCAATCCTGAAGGCACTAGGTTTGAAGCCACCAGCTGCTCCACAGGAGAAGGATGGGCAACCTCCTCACGTGCAATTAACTGCCTCTGAAAACCTGCCAAAGGGTCTGCTATGGGTTGGTTCTGACAACAACACATATAAACAACAGTTCCAGGAAGATAAAAATAGGAGGAGTCACTTTATAATTCTGAGAACTGTGTGATCCATAGATGAGGTCCATGTGTTGTCACCCTATATACTTTTTATTATATTAGATGTATACTATATATAACTGAATTAAAAAGTTAGATAGTTTTAAAGTAAAAAGAAAATCATTTATACTATTCATAACCATCACAGGAACTCTCTGCTATGCTGTGACAAGAAGGATACATCACTTCTGTATTCTACCGTGAGAAGAAAAAAAAAAAAACCCAAACACCAAAACACAAACAGACAGATCTAAATATGCAGACATCGATAGGATATCTTAAGACTGTCCTAGTCATGAAAAACAAAGAAAAACAGAGACATGGTCAATAGCAAAAGAAACCTGGGTGACATGAGCGGAGGGGTGTGTGTGTGTGTATAAATGTGCTAGGCTGCAACACTTCCATGATACATCTTCAAGGATATGAACATGTACGGCTAAGCACAAATGATAACAGTGCATCTAAATTCCAAAATCAATCTCCATAACAGTCTATGTGTTTCCTACTGCCAAGGGGGCCCTTTGGAGTAGTGAGAGAAGACATTCACCCTGAAACCCACAGCGTCCCTTTTCAGCAGGAAGTAGCTAAGAGAATACGCCATCCCCTTTTCCTTATGAATCAGGGTGAAGTCTCTCTCAGGGAGAGTGATAGGGAATGGCAAGGGACACACTGACAAAGGAGATTAATCAGAACTGGCTTTGACAAGCACTGTGGCAATTGGACAATTAAAAGAGACATGGGGGGGGAAGAAGAAAGAAGAACGAACTGGGGATGAGGGTGGAGAAAACAGTGAATGAATGAAAACCCAAAATCTCTGTAAATGTTCATTAAAACTAATAAAATTTAATAAAAAAAATAAATGTGCAGTATAGTATTCTGCACTGTATCCTGAAACACAAGGACATTGGATATCTCAGTACCCAAGGAGCTGCTGGTGAATTTGAACCAGCAGGTACTGATTCTTCTTCTGTCGTTTTTATTCATTGCCCACTTGACAATGTAGAGCAAGTGATCAAAAAGACTATGGTTTGCTTCTAAGAATCAAATCCTCATACACTTCCAAAAACTTCTCCAACAGGGTAAAAAGGAAAGCCATAGACTGGGGAAAAAAATATTTGGTAATGACATGTCAGGTAAGGGACTTATATCAAGAATCTATGAAATACTCAAGCACTGTGACAAGATAAAGGTAAAGAACCCAATTGAAAAATGGGCACAGGATATGAACAGACACTTCACCAAAGAAGATATTCAGTTGGCCAAAAAACACATGAAGAAATGTTCAAAATCCTTAGCTCTAAGAGAGATGTAAATTAAAATAACTATTAGCTATCACCTCACCCCAGTAAGAATAGCAAAATTTAACAGAACAGCAAACATCAAATACTGGCGAGATTGTGGAGAAACAGGAACCCTTATTCACTGTTGGTAGGAGTTTAAAATGGTGTAACCACTAGGGAAGGCTGTATCGTGCTTTTTCAAAAAGTTGCAAACAGAAATACCATTTGACCCAGCAATTCCACTACTGGGAATATACCATAAAGAAAGCATAACTGCCACCCAAGCAGATATATGCACACTGATGTTTATTATGTCTTTGTACACAATAGCAAAGAGTTGGAAACAACCCAAGTGCCCATCAACAAATGAATGGATAGAGAAGCTCTGGTATATTCACAGAATTGAATAGTATGCTGCACTGAAAAACAAGGAACTCATGAAATATTATACAAAATTAGTGACCCTGGAGGACACTATGCTGAGTGAAATATCTCAGTCACAAAGGGACAAATACTGCATAGGGCCACTGTTGTAAAACAGGACTGGCATCAGGGTTGGGGGAGACTGAGAAAGATGGGATAAATAATGTATATTGCATTGAAACAGAGAAGGGAGAAAACAGTTTAAAAGGGATTTGTGATTAGGTATTATTGTCATGACATG